AATTATTTTTTATTAAAATACAAAAGCAAAACTTCATATTTTAGATGGTATGAGAAAGGGTGATGAACTCTTCTCCTTCCCTGCTCCTCTTAGCTCTTCTTTCTCTCCAAAATAATTTCATAAATTTTATTAACTTTTCAATGAAAGTACAGTGACCACTTTTATATGATGAAAAAAAGAGGAGAAAGATTTAATAGTTTAGATTTCATCCAGCTTTTGTTTAGCCATTGCAGGCTTGACGGCTGTGAATTCTGCATCCTGTTTTCATACTGATTTTGCTTATTTATGGGAAAAAAAAAAAAAAGCAGGCTCTCCTGTCAGGGTGATTCTTTCATCTAGTTGTTAGAATTCATTTTCTACTCCTGCAGTAATGTAACTACAGATAATGAGCTGGTAGGAGTGTGAACGTCAGCCTCTTTGAATGTTTGAGCTGCATCTGTAAGGTCCAATTTAGCTGTTGAGACTTTTCTGATGAAGCATGCGATTCCGTGCTCTTCCAGGCGCTTAAGTGGTCTGCACACTGGTGAAAAATAGAGAGTTTGGAAATTAAACATTTCCTATTATTCCTGTTCTAGCCCGTTACCTATTTTAGTTTGTCTTTTTCTGATCTTGTGTCTTCAGGAAATCCAGGAGCTGGCAGGAGGGGAATGAACCGTGAGGGTGTCCCCGGAAAGAGTCCGGAGGAGATGTACATTCAGCAGAAAGTGAGAGTCCTGCTCATGCTGAGGAAGATGGGATCAAATGTAAGATGCACTGTCATAGCCCCTATTTTGTGGCTTTCCAGACATAATTCTGTAGTAACGGGGATAGTGCTTACCGAGATGGGCAGGTGCTGCTCTGGTTTTATCGCTGAGTTGTTTTAGCTGTCATTGATTTAACCACTATCTGCAGTTAAACACAATTGATTTTTGCTTATATATAATGAGGCTTGTCATGCCTGAAACTAAATCTGAGAATCCGATTATTTCTCTGTATACGGTGAAGTTTTTCACTATTGGAAAACCAGCAAAATAAAGCAAATGTTTTAAAGCGACTTTGAATCTCTTCATGGTACCAGTTTGCTGCCGTGTCCTTGCTGATGGTATTGTTTGCACAAATAACAGATGAAACTGTTGAAGAGAAGAACAGAGGCAACTGTCACATGTCTTATTGGGAAGTCAGAGATAATATCTTCACTCTTTCTTCATTTTCCTTTTGCTGACTGGCTCTCTCTGTGCGTTTCCAGCTGACTGCTAGTGAAGAGGAGTTCTTGCGCACGTACGCGGGTGTAGTGAATAGCCAGCTTAGCCAGCTCCCTCAACACTCCATTGATCAGGGTGAGTACTGACTGCTTTGCCTTGTGTTTATTTAATCTGTGAGGGCAGTCTCAGAAAATACAAATGTGGGTTCCTGTATTTCTGTAATAATATGCCACCTTCTTAAACCCATCCTGCAATCCGGGACATGCAACTCGCTGCCTGCTGTGATCTTTGGAAGAGAACTAGAGCGTACTGTTCAACAGGTGGTTTTATTTTAACAGGTAGAGTCAGTCTTGGATATACCTAAGATTCGTTAGGATGAATGTTAAGCATCTTATTCTCCGTGATAACTCCAGACATTGGTGGCCAAAGTCCTGTGACCTGACTGCATGTGTACAGCTTTGTATTCTATGCAATATACATTAAATAGAAATAAATTTTAACTTGATTTTTGCTATAGGTGAAGTTAGATTCAGGTATGCATAGGTCCATCTAGTTCTGAGTGTGTCTTACTGTATTCAGTATGGATCAACTGCACAAGGCTACTTTGACCTAAATTTTTATATTTATTCTTAAACTGGACATGTGTGTTTAAAAAGGAACAAGACTAGGGGTGGCGAGCAACTGGGAGTTTTGTAACAAAATAAAATGTAAAGTATATACAAATGTCTAAGGTACAAAAGCAATTTGTTATGCTTATGATAATTTAGTTACTACAGACTCCAGTTGCTTGATAACACTTTTCTTGCAAAATAAAATGGAATAATCTAACAGCATCTTTTGTTTTTCACATTTCCGTGAATGTGGGAGCACAATGTTACTATTTCAGTGGAGTAAAAGGGAAAGTTTAGCAACGGGAGGAATTTGTTTCCCATTGCATTTATTTAATTTGCACAATGTACTTAATTCCCAGACGGGCTAGTCTACAAATCTGCTTTGGTTTGTTTAGATTACCATGAAGGGGATGAATTACATGCTGCTCTTGTGAATTCTTTGCAGAAGTCTTGCTAAACAATTGTGTGACGCTACTCTCAATCTATTAATCTCTTCTGAACCTGAATGTTTCTTTCTGAATGTTTTTTCTTCCCTTCATCGGCCTCATGCCAGATCACATTCATAATGTAGGATTTGTATTGAAGGAAAATTGTAAGACTCGTATGCCAGAAGGAACTGAATTGAGCAGAAATGCAATATACATCTAAGACATTTAGAAAACCATTAGAAACACAACCTGCACAAACTTGCTCTTCAGTTTTAAGCCTGTGTGTTCATTCCTCACATAGCTGGGGACTGGTGGAGGTAGACTGACTTGTATATTTTGGCTCAGAATTCGTAAACTTTTCTGCCAGGCTAAAGTGAAAATGTGCCAGGTTTTTGTCAAAAACTGAGGTAGATGTATTCAGTTAAAGACTGTCTTAGTTGCAGTTGGCATTTTTCCGTGTTAACCCTAAAGTAGTTACACTTCTCACAATTAAAATATCTGCTGAGTTACCTGCACTGGGGCAGAGAGGAGATAATAAAAACAGGAGTCCAGCCAGGGGACGCAGTACTTGGTACAGCTGTGCTCCTGCACAGCTTGGTCTCACCTTCTTGTCTGAATTTTCTGGTTTTATTGTGTGCAAAATTATATTTTCTCACTTCGCAGAGGGCTTTGGGGACTCAAAATTGAATTTTGACGTAACTTTTAAATGCAGATGAGACCAATAGTTACCTGTTCTGCTTCTAGACTGACTAACCATGCAATACAGGAAATGTAAGAGCTTCATACATTGTTTAAAAAGTCTTTTTTCCCCATATTTGAACAGATTCCAACTGATTTCTCTGTCATCATTTTCCTAAAGTCCTTGAAGATTCTTAAAACTTTGTCCGTAGGGAAGTGAAGTCCCCCCTGTTGATGCTTGCTGTCATCTCATCTGGGGCTCTGCTCTTTCCTGGGAGATTCGACCCCACAGTCTACTTTCGATCCTCCCGAATTATAATTAAACTCGTGGTCTGACCATTCCCTTGGTAGGGGAAAAAAAGAACAAAGAAAGAAAATAGTTCAATATTTAAAGAAGTGGGAAAGGATGTTGGTTCTTTCCATGTTCAGATATGCAATTTCTCCAAATTAAGTAGTGAGTAGCGTGTAGAACAAATGAAAATGAGGAAATCTAGCCAAATAGTTTTTCCTTTGGAGAAAGATGAAGCTGCAGTATGCCTTATAGATACAAGGAACTATAATTTATTGCTCAGGACTTTGATTTCCGTAGAAATCTCCCCAGATTTCTAACAGTCAAGTTATTATAATGTTGCTCTTTGCTCCAAGGTGTGGTGGCAGCAGCAGTCATTGCCATCAGTCTCTACCTTCTGCTGTATCCTACTGCCGGTGAAACAGGAAGGGTTGATTTTGAAAATATTGGAAATAGAGATTTGCCATCTTAAGGGAAATTCCATCCCCACTAGATGGCATTATCTTGTGCTGGAAAACCCCGTCCCAAGTCCGCACACTGAGGCGTTGAAATGTTTTGTGTTCTTCAAGATTGCTTAAAGGAATTTTCTTCCCTACTTCTCTGCTGTTTTCATTGAATCTCCTCTGGAGGATATATTTTTTTTTCCCCTTTATGCAGCTGGCCTTACACAACAACTAAAAGGTGTGTTATTTAAGGAGCAACTTCCAAAGAGTTAGTGTGTTAGTGGATTGCACAGTCCTTTCTCCCAATGGTAGGACAGATTGCTCTCAGCCTGCCTTGTCCCAGACTGATCATCTTCCTCCAACAGGCACACAAAGACGGACTGACTTCATACCCCCATTTCATTACAAAAAAGGGAATTTACATTCGTGGTCTCAGAGCTCTAAAAGCTTTGTTGTAGACTGCAAATTTTGTATGTCACTTACAACTGCTGTCGTCTGGCTCCAGAGTTAGAAGGTCGTTTGTTTTTTTTAATTTTTAAGTACAGAGGATGGATGGTCTAGAATTTAGTAAGTGCATCACAGTCTCTAGTACAATTTATATGCTTTCTTTATTGTGCCTCCATGAAATGCTGTCTTGGAGCAGCTGGCCGGTGGCCTCACAGAATTACTTGAGGTGGGACTTGCGAGCTGATCACTGTGTGCTGCTCCCTGCTATGGTTTCCGATAAAGACCTGACAGCTTCTTTGTTGAGTCTATTTGTTTGACCACAGGGAGTCACTGCAACCTATGTGTCCGATAGGTATTAGCAGCAATGTGAGAGTGCACTGGAGAAAGAAGTTTACACTTGTCCTTGTTGAGTTCAAGTGCTTGTGCCATAAACCTTCAGCGAGCCGCTATTGATAACAATATCTCTGACATTTGAAGTTCCTCTACCTGCTCTGCTTACTGTCCTAGGGTTCAGCAATAGACGTTAATTTTGATCAAGCATCTGAGAATACCTCTAATTTTTAAGCAAGTCTGAAGTCTAAAATGCTCCTTCAGTTTCTGCTTATTTTTATAGGAAGAGGAGAAATTAAACTTTATTTTTTTATTTTCCATGCTGCTTTCAAAAGGAATGAATCAGTTCGGATGAGCAAAATTACTGTGCTTTAGGATTGTTTACAGATCTCCTTTTACATTTGAACGTATTTGGAACACCTTCACTCTTGAAGCTTTTTTTTTTTTTAATTCCATCTCTATTTGCCCCTTCTTTTCAGTATATTCCAGAGTCTCAGGAGGTGCTCAGTCCCTCGGTGTGTTGACTTGGACACACTTCTCTAGAGGTGCTGTGTCCCTAACGTGGTTTGCAGTCCACCAAGAGCAAGGAGCGAAGGTTTAGGTAATTCAGATGTCTGGATTCTGTTCGTAGCTTGGTGGTTTAAGCTATTTTTATAAATACTTTGGCCTGTTCACCCATTCTCTTCTTCAGCTGATCCAGAGAGTCGTGCTGCACCCATGACAGTTAGGAGGCTTATCTGATGTATTAAAAATACTTTTATGATCCATTGAAAGGTGAACTGCTAGCAGAGGGAATGAGGTCTCAGTAACCCCAGAAAGCCTGAACAGCAGTTAAATAACTCTAAGCTGAAGTATTTAATTCTTAAATTTAGTATTAAGTAAGAGACTAAACACTAGTGTCATGCTTACATTTTTAATAACCATTTTATTTTTGGATCATTGCTGTAATGTTGTTAGCACCTATATGGAAGTGCAAAGTATAGGGCATTTTCTTTACTCGAGGAGCTTTGTAGCTGACATCTGTGGGTTGGTTGTTGTTTGCTTTTTATGGCTCCAAGAATAGCTGAGGAACCCAAAGGCATCTCTGTTCAAGCAGTGCGTATGCTGGAGAATGGATGTGATCATGAGCTGTTTCGAGATGTCAACACATTAGTTGTCTTCTCTGCATTGCAGCAAGAACCAGCACAGCTCAGACTCATTCGGTTGAGCTTGAAATTATGAAATTGAGAGTTTCTCACATATTTTTAATACAAGCAAAATGCCTCTCAGGCAGTTATATGCACAGAAGCATCTCCTGCATAAAAAACCATGTTTCCTGTTGCCCAGTTACTTACATCTCTAAATGGTGGGCTAGCACTTGGCTTGCTTAAGTCGCTGCTCTGGCAAATCTGTAAATGGAAGCTGTGCAGCTCGTAAGCATGATATGTGAATTATACTAAGACCTTGGTGATTACAGCTCGGTTGTTCCTATAGCAACAGGAGTGTCGTGCTGGTTCTTAAAGGAAGCTGGTCCCCTGGGGAGGGCAAAGCTGAGATGCAAACACATGCCTCTGCTAGGTTAGACGCGTTCTCAGGATGATAGAGCATTAAAAATGAGCTCAGGCTGCTTGGGGTGCTAGGAGGGGGACCATGCTCATGAAATATCAGATAGTGGTGGAGAAATGGAGGCAGGGCTCTTCTCAGTGTGGTTTTATTCTTTCGAACACAATCTGTGTTTTGATGTGCTCCTCCTCTCGGCAGCGGATGTTGTATTTTTAGAATGCCAGACTAGGATACCCATACAGGGAATTTCAGAGAAGAGTCAGTATTTAGAAGATAGTTGCTGGAAGGTGATTGAAGAAATGTGTTTATACAAAGATCTTGAGGGAAGTGAAGATTTCTTTTAGTTTGACAGCCTTCAGAAATTCCT